GACTGTTCATAAAAGCTCTGTAAGTGAATGTATTTCTAATCTAATCGGATTCCAATCTACTGTTGGAGCTGTAGACCTGGGTTATGTCTGCAGTCAGTAAAGCAGGATGAATTAGACCATCTGAGTACCACGCTACTGTACTTGGAGTGCTGTCAGAAATGAGCTTGTTTAAAATGGGTTTGGATATTCCAGAATTACAAAGCTGTCATTTGTGTGGCTGCAGTGTAGACATGCCTTTACATTTCTGAAAGCTTTGAGAGGACGGAGCAGAGCTCATTGCTGGCCAAATACAGGTCTGCTTTGTTATTTACCTCGTTGTTATTGCTTAGTTTATATGCTTTTGAAATACCGACTAGTCTACTGTACCACTGTTATAAGTTATCATGGATTATAAAGCTTCTATCTAAAAAAAGAACAGACAAGGAGAAACCATAGAAATGTCTTCGAAAAAAAAAAAGTAAAGAGAAAGAATAATTGCATTTATGAAGGTATAACACAATGTCTGTAGGAAAAAAGAAAACTGATGCTTTGAGAATCTAACTGGTAGTCTTCATTGGAGCAGAGATTAACGTATAAATTATGTCATATATATAATAAGCCATCTCTTTAGTTTTACGTAGGTGAAACCCTTAGCCCTTCTGTTTTGGCTTTACTGTCTTGATATTGAGGCTGGCTGAAAATGCGGTCCAAGCCTTGCCTTTGGTAAAAGATCCCACTCTTTTTCAGCTTCAAGTTCAGAATGAGGCAGAATTTATTCTAGTTTTGGAAAATCAAAGTGCAGATTTTTTCTAATTCTCAAAGTTGAGTAGGTGAAGGGACTCCAGATAATTAGGGCTTTTTCTAACCTTTTTTCATACCCATTAGGTATATTTTCTACCTTTAGTGATTGCAGTGTTCAGCTAATCTGTCAATTTAACCAAAGCAACAATTTCACAATGTAGTTTTCTTTCTAATTGTGTGCTGTGTAATCAATATACTGATATAATGTGAGTGTAATTTCCTCTCTTATTTTATCTCCACTGCACAGTATTATAAATAAACAGCTAAAAAAGAAAAAAGAAAGAAAAGCACCAAACAAATCTGTTGCATCTTCTTTTAAGATTGTACCACTGTAGACACTTGTTCTAGTAAAGTAGAATTGGACCCACTTGATTGCATTTAAATTTTTCATGCTTCAGCAGTTTGTCTGGGAGCACAGTAAAGAAAACCCCCCGAGCGAGGATAGTTTAGAATAATAGAACTTGATTTTGTGTATTATAGCGGCACCATTTGCGCTGCTGTAGTTAGGGTTGTGTCAGCACTTCCATTATAAACCCCTGTTTGCAGGGGTTATAACTAGGGAGATATTTTTTATCAGAAACTTTTCTTTTTTTTTTAAATCATTTGCTTGAATTTAATTGATAATAGGAGGAAAAATAAATTATAATGGAAATTAGTAAATTTCAGATACCTTTTACGAGTCGTATTTACTATTAATATTGATTTTTTTTTCTTTCACTGGAGATTTTAGCAATTGCGTTTTGAATATTTTAAATGTAAAATTGTGAAATTATAATGGCTTAAAATTGGACTGGCTTTTGTGCTCACGGTTCAACATTAACATGTTTAAACACAACCTCTTCTATGGTTTGATGTTACTATGAACTACTTGAGTGATCTGGATCCTTCTCCCTTCAGTCTGATAAGGCCTTGAGTTATTGGCTGAATTCTGCCTTTGGACCTTATGGACTTCTATGGAATGACTCCTCCTGTTTAAGTAAAACCAAATGTGCAAAGAGTAAAAACCTGCTGGGAGTCATTGGATGACACCCAGTCACACAATTTATACAGTTCATACAGTTTAACTGGTCATAATCTTGCCACAATCAATATCTGGAGCATAACCTGGGACCCCTGGAATACCTGTACACGTGAGGGTATTGATTTAGTTAATGATTGTGCTGAGAAAAGCAGCTGGAGGCTTTGACCTAACAGGGTCCTGCATCTCTGTCCCTTTTACCCTAGTGTTTAAAATCTAGCAGTCAAAGGCTGGAAAGGAAACATGAAGTGCTGACCTCTGGCCATGATGGCTGCACTAGCTCCTGGAGTTGCAACAGAGCTATGGAGAGAGGGGCAAGAGAAACAGGCCTCTGCAAACTGCAATGAGGAGAGCGGGGGGTGCCTGGGGTCCTGCTGAGTTCCTCTTTGTAGGCTCCAGGCCTACAGGTAACAGTAAAATGCCAGCATGAAAATGCATCTGACCAAAGGGCAGTAGTGGAGGAAATGGGTTGGAGGAGCTCAGAAGCACCTGAGGTCTGCTCTTGACCCATTCTGCTAGCCTGGTGCAGAAAACAGTTGCCGGACACGACTTGAGATTGGTAGTGAAAGTGACTTTGTCAATGCAATTTGATTTTTAAGATATCTCCTTTTCTAGATGCAATTAAATTAAGAAGAGAACATTAATACAGCCTTGTATTTATATGTTTAAACCACGGTGAAGAAGAGGGAAGTCTATTAGCATACATGGCAGGGAAAAGGTGCTTCCACTCGAGCACATTACCAGCAGATAGCTTTACTGAGTGGTCACTTGAGGAAATACCAAAAGCCTGTTTATGAAATAGAGGTGAAGCCTTTCTAGACTAATTATATTCAGCATGTAATTTCTAAACTTCAGTCTGAATTTTGATTTTCAATTAACATTCCCAATTTGAAGATAATTTTCTATTTAATGTAATTGCAGGAAATAATTTATTGGCTGATTAAGACTGAGGGCCCAGCCTTCCTTAAGAAAACAGTCCCTAACAAACCAGCCTTTAAAGCCAACTCGTAGCTTTGGACAGATTCAGCCTATTTTTGCAGCTGCAGAGTTGTGTTTAATTAGGATTGTGCACTATTATTCATTGGTGCAGTTAGTAGTTGAAATTATTCTTAAGAGACATTTTCATTTCGAGTTTTGTGTCATGATTAATTTATAGTGAAGAAACAGCCATAGCTATTGCTTTTTGCAGAAGCTCGTTCGGTTTGAAACGGGAATCAAATCTGTTGAGAAGGTGAAAACAAGGAAAACCCCTCATTGTGACTTTCAGTTTTAATGCCTAGTTTTCAAATCGTATAGAGCGTAGTAAGATTACTTATATTTTCTTGTGAGTGATTACATTAACATGACCATTTTAATGAGAAAAGGGAAAGTAAACCTTTTTTTTTTTTTATCTTGGATCACAGCAATTATGAGCCAGAACCTTTTGAAGTACATGCAGTAATGCCGGCTGCTGAACTCTTGGCATGTTCTCTGCAGCATCAACACGAATTCTTTAGCGTAGTACAAATGTAATACACGGTTTAAATTCCTCAGTTCTGCTTATTGGCAGCATTGATATTAGACTGCCACTTACACTTAGGCTTCTCTAAAGAAAATGCAAATGTTTTTTTCCCCCACCAGTATCGAGTTTAAGAGGCAGGATTATCTCTATTTACAGAATTGTTATTCTAAATAGGTATCAGTGTTTTAATATGTCTCCGAGCACTTCAAAGCTTGTAATACTTTTATATAGAACTGTACATAATTAGATTAGCTGATCCTATATTAATTTTTTTTCACTGTAGGATACTAAATCCAAGCTCACTCATTAATTGTGAGAAATTTAGCATTAGCTGTTAAATTCTATGTGAAACATGGGCTGCTACATAAAAACTACTTTTTAAATTGGAATTAACCTAATTATTTTTCTTTGCACTTGATATTTCCTTCTCTGTAATATTCATGAAAGCATGTGACAGATTTGTAAATTTAACTGTTAGTCTCAGATTTCTAGCCCCTTTAATCAGTATTTATTTGTCTGTAGAAACAGTACTAGCAAGTTAATGATTTGCTAATTTGAAAAATGCTCATGTGGTTTCCCATGTTAACTGATTTGTGCATTTTTAAAGAAATGGTATGAAATCAATTATTGTTAAAAAGCAATTAAGGTGAAGATCTTATTCCTTGGCTTCTCTGCAATTTCAGTGTCCAGGATATTCTAAAGTCACTAAAATCTGGGAAAATAGCTAATATATTTTAACTGTCTACTTTCAGGTTTATTAATGGCAGTTTTAACAGTTGCAGTTAATCTTATTAGAAATTTTAAACAAAGTGTTTTAAGATTTTGTGTTGAAGTCAGTTATATTTTCATGTAAGTGCAGTTATATTTTCATGTGGTGAAAGCAGTGTTTCCATATGTGATGGCTGTAAGAGACCATTATTAGAAAGAGACATTTAACATAAATCAATGCATTTATTCATTAGACTTTTAGGTCATTTAATGTAATTTGTTGAAATATATCCTGCTCTCGATGAAACATAATTGTTTCAGATTTTTAGTTCAAACTGTAAAAGATTAATCACTTATTATCCATCCATTTGATAAACCATTCTCTTTCCCCGTTAACATCTCAGCATTTTCCAAATGTAAAGCTAGATAAAAATTTAAACAGGTGAGGATTGGATACAACTTCAAACAAACAGCAAAAGGACTTGGTTTGAAGAATCTGAAATGGACTTGAAAATTCTTATCTCTGCAGAAAATAGCTTCTGCTTGCAAGGAAAGAGATTAAAAATACATGTGGGACCTTCTCCCCCAAAAATTTGCTTATAACCTTCAGATTACTTATATGACTAAGAGTTTAAAGCTTGAACTCCTATGGTGAATCAACATGAAAGTAACAGTAAGCTAACTTCTTTTTTTTTTTTTTTTTTTCTGGCTAGAGAAAATTACATTGTTTGACAAGTCTAAATGAATAGAATAACATCACATTGCTAACCCTGACACTCACTGGACGTTAGTGAAAACTTCATCTCAGTGGTTTGGATTTGGTTCCCCCAATCTGTGCTTATAAGAGTAATTTCTTTGACTGCGTATGATTAATTTTAATTGATGCAGGCAAGCGTACCTTCTATACCTTCTATCTCGTGTGTTTAGAGGGCTGTTTGAGTTTGATTTTTTTGTTTGACACAAATGTTTTCTTTTTGTCTCCTTATTTTGCAGAAGAATGTCTTCCAAGCAGGCTACCTCTCCATTTGCATGTGCAGCTGATGGAGAGGAAACAATGACCCAGGACTTAGCATCACGAGACAAGGAAGAGGGCAACAGTGATCAGCACGCGACCTCTCATCTGCCTCTACATAATGTAATGCACAACAAACCTCACTCTGAGGAGCTACCAACTCTAGTCACGACCATCCAACAAGATGCCGAGTGGGATGGAGTCATCTCAGCCCAACACAGAATGGTGAGTTTCACAGTTCTTGAACCAGCTTTCTAAATTGTTATCCTAAAAGGCTGTTCGCTTCTGTTTTGAAAGACATGTTCAGTAGAATCATTCAAGTGTGTGAAGCTTTTTAAATGTTCGTGTTAGCAATAGATCAGCATCAATATGGTATAATTGTAAATTATAACTGTATAATCTTGTTAAGTATACAAGTCTATATGAATGAGGTCATTTGATGAGTTCACCTTCGGAAAGGAAATGCATCTATTTATCATGTTTTCATTCATGCCTTGATTTATGTCATAACCTCTCTAGATCATATATTCAAGCATTAATTTCTGACAGGAGGGTATAGCTCACAACTGTTTGTCATCTGCAAAGTGTTGCATTGAAGGAAGAAACTTTAATGTGTTTTTTTACTTCTCTCTCAGAAAGGGAATTCACCAAACCTACAGTATTACACCTTCATACTACAACAAAGAAGCTGGCATTTTATTTGACACAATCATCCTGCTATATTTATAGAAAATTATAACTTTTTGTGAAAGAGAAATGTGTTTGAGTAACAATGTCATACTTTTCTACTCTAGATCATGTTTCCATACAAGTGACAATAGAAATGATCAGAATTTTTGTCTGTATTCTCTTCAGTAGACCACTTAAAATTATTTTGCAGTTGTAATTCTGTCCTTATGCATCCCCAAAACTCTGCAATAAACGAAAAGACTGAATCAAGACTGAATGGGCACAGCATCTCATTCAATTTATTTTCCTTGAATGTGTTTATGAGGAACAGAATTAAGGTATGTGCAGCACCCAGGTGTGCTGTAAATTTAGAACATAATAATTTCACACTCTCCATAAAGTGACTTTCACAAACAGTGAGTTCACGCAGTTAATGTGTTTTCATAAAATTTCTTCTGCATTTTCATTAAATATCTATAAGCAGATATTTACTGAGGAAGTCTTGAGATTTTTTCAGAGCAAATCAGCAGCTAGCATAAAAAATTGTAGATTTTTTTTTTTTTTTACATTTCTAACAAATATTTCAAATTTGTGGAGAAATAATAATTCTATTTCAGTAATCAACATAGAGGCTGGAATTCCTCATGCATTTTGTGTTACCTACAATTCAAGTGTTAAGTAAATAATAGCACTTAAATTATATCTATTCTGTTAATGGAGGTTTTTGTTAGTTTCTTCTCAAAATCTAATTGATTCGGACTATCAGACCAAACTAGAGAAGTGTTGCCTAATCTGTAGTGCACCATCTAAGCTAGTGTAGGTCTAAAATATTCCTAAGTCTATGGGCTACTTTTACAAAGAGTTTAAAAGATGCAAATGTAAAAATGGCTTTAAAGAAGAATGATTATAGATTAGTAATTTTGCAAGGATTTAAGTTAATATGGCTTCTATGCAGAATTTTCAACTGGAATGTCAGTTTGGGTGGAAAGTCATTCTTTCGCCCAAATCATGCAATAAGCTCATCAGAAAAAATTTCATCTCTTTCTGCGTTTTCAGGAGGGCAACCAGGATATAGAGTAGAAAGTGTTGATCAAATCTGTTGATGAAAAATAAATCTGTGAATTCATCAGTCACTTTCCCATCCAATGAGGCACGTGCAGTCTGGGAATTTCAGTCTTAGAACACTAATACCATAGATGAAGTGACTTTGTGTCTCAGAAAGATAGGTATTCCTAACCTCTGGGAGCCCCTCAAAGCATTTGCTTTTTATCCAGACTGTTCTTTTGACTTGAAATATTAGCAAAAATGATATAAGCTTGTGCTGTGTGATTGTCTGTACTCACTGGCTCTGAACTAAGCTTATGCTTACAGCACCAGAGTGCGATCTCTGTTTTCCTTCTTAATGCTGCACTACCATGTCAACGCTTGCTGTACCTCTGGACAAGCATGAATCAATACCCAGCTTATCGTGTTTCAGAGCAGGTGCATAAACTTTACTTGAGTGACTTAGCACTCTGTTTTTCCTCCCTCCTTTTTTCAGTGAACACTCCGTCATATACGTAGATGAATGTCCTGAAAATCATTAAAAGTTTCCACAATTCCCTTGGGTCAAATCTTGTGGTGAATGTATGTCATCCTTATTTAGGTAGCTCTCAGCTAAACCAAACAGATCTTTTTGCCTAGCTAAAAGCTTTACAAGGTTTGGCTAGAAAAACTAAGTTCTCAAACATGCTATTTGGTTGCACTTAAATGAGATATAAAATGTAAGCAAGATTCCAATGTGTTCGCAAGTTAGGTGAGTTAGATCACTAGTTAGATCAATGCTGTGAAGTGGTATAAAAAATATTTTTTCTTGTTGGGGGACTGTCATCTAGGGTAACCTTTTTGACTTTTTTTCCTTACTTATGTCCTCAGTGAGGAATCTTTTAAGCCTCAATTAAAATTGTTTTGCAAAGTTTATCTGAAACACCTCATTCTCCAAGCAGGCATTGATACTGCTAGGAAAAATTCAGAAGTGGCTTTCAATTTTCCTGATGAGATCAATTTTATACTCCTCTAAGTGAGGATCTGATGAGATCAATTTTATACTCCTCTAAGTGAGGATAGGAGTTTCTTTCCTGAGAGGCAAATTCTAGAAGGTGGGTTGGACAGTTTTGAGATAGCGACTAGTTTTCTACCTAATAAAACCAAACTCCCAGAAGGTAAGTGCTTACTGACCTTTCACAGACAGATCCTTTCAAAGCAGATTTGAAGAAGCACCTGCTCCTTCCGTTTACCCTAAAGGTAAAGACATTGGTGCTGTCATTAAAATGCATCGATAGTGTGTGTTGCCTGGTTAGAAGACAGTAAATTCACAGAATGCTGTGTCGACATATGGAGAGGAAAAAAATTATTTTTCAAGTGATACCTAATTAAGGACAAAATCCCGCTTCCTTTGTGCCTTTAAAACTACTAAGGATGTCACTGGAATTTTTGAGAGCACACATGCTAGGAGGGCTGTACAGAAGCTGGGTGAAAAAAGATACTCTAGCAGGGCAATTCAGTCGAAAAATATAACCAAGTTTTTTCTTCTTTCATACTTGTGCTATGCAGCACTTTCTGTAATATAAGATACCTTTAAACTGCATTGTGTATTATCATAAAAAAAAGAAAAAACCCTACACTGGCTAGAAATGTTTTCAAACTTTCACTCCCTTTTGATATCAGGCATTGCTTTCCACTGAGTCCTTTGTGTATTCTGAATGTCTGGAAGCCAAAATATTTTGTTTTAACTCCCACTCTGTAGTATTTCCCAGCTGTGTACTTATATGGTGTAATAAAAGGATTTAACAAATGGGAAATAGCAGCTGCATTTGGAAATTCCCTTTGTGCTCCCTTTTCATTTGACAGATTCAGCAATGTGTAACAACTGTAACGTCAGACCTGTAATGACTTACAGTGCGGGTATCATATCACCAGCCAATCTGATGGTATAGTGGGGAGAAAATAAAACAACTGAAAGATTTAGACCTGTAATTTCTTATTGCTGAGCTGAAAGGATTTATATGTGTATTTCTAACTATAACTTCATATAAAATACGTAGAAAATACCTGGACTTGTGGGTATTTATTGTTGCCTGTAGTTCAACTAGAAAATAAATGCTATTTTAGGCTGAGGACATATCTTTTTGCTGCATTGAACAGTAAGGAGGGGTCAAAGTGTTACTAAGATAATAGGGAAGCAACTCTTCTGCCTTCTCCCATGGACACTGAGTAACAGACAGATTTTCTAAGTTGCATCCAAAAGCTGGCTCTCTTGGGGCAATAGACTGAGAGAGGATGAGAATGAAAAGCCAACGGAACTAACTTATGCTAAATATAATAGTAATTGAATTGTTATATCCCAATATTATGTTAATTAGCAGCTATGTAAAGAAGTGGAGAATCGTAATTTGTGCTTTATTCACTGGAGAGCGACGATAAGTGATGCTCCTTATCGTCATACAGAGCCTTAAGCAGGTATAAACAGGTAAATTACAAAGATTTTTAATTTTTGCCTTTAGCTACCAGGAGAAAGCAGTGCCAACAACAAGCTACAAAATCAGATGAACAAGCAGTCTGATCCACTTAAAGAGATGGGTTGGTGTGTTGCCATGACTGTAAGGGCTAGATGTGGTCCTTTTTGTGGACAGTAAATTTAAGCAGCTTTAACATAGTGAAATCACAGTCATAGAATAGCTTGGGTTGAAAGCCAGAATCTTTCTCCAAATTTCAGATTTTTTAAAATTGGGTTTTTTTCCTTCTGAAACTGTGAAGAGAGAGGCAAATTGTGTTCCCAACCCTAATCCCATTATGGCAATCTGGTAAAAGGCAGGATTTCTGAAGATCTTACAGGCACCTTGAGAATCACTGTATGAGGAACACAAGAACAGCGGAAGCCCTTTTCCCACTGGTATTCCTCTCCTGCCCACCACCACAGGCAGTATGCAGACAGTGTGTGCATGCACAGAATGAGGGCATCCGCAGCTTCTTCGTCTACCATTACATGAAGCATTAAGGAAAGAGGCTGTTGGGAGGAACCACAGCTGCAAGCAAAGTCTAATGAATGTGTGTTATTTCCCTATGACTGAGGAAAAACACACAAATATACATATACAGTAAGTTACATATTTCATCATCATCAAATATATGTACTACTTTTCCCCATACATTTTTTAACATTGTTCAAAGACCCTTTGGGTTTAGAAATGAAATTTCTTTAATTGGGTTTTATGTCAGATGGGAACATTGACATATATTTCGTAGTTATGTCAACCCTGTCTTCTGTTGACTTCTTGCCAAAAGTGAAAAGCATGCTACCTTTCCACTGTCTCGGCATATCCGTTTCAGCAGTGCTGATGGCAGATTTGCATATGCAGGAGGAAAAGAGATTTGTATCCGTATTTGTTACTTTTAAATCATTTTAAATCACCAAGTGTCAAATTTAATTTTGTATAGCTCTAGCAAAACTCCTGGTATCAGAAAGGCAGAAATGGGTGGCATTCAAGAGGTGCATAGTGTCTGCTGCAGAACAGGCA